TTGATCCTGGTGTTATTTCTTGAATGTTTTAGTTTTAGGGTTATGCTAAATTTTGTAAAGGCACTAGCTGAATTGAGTAAAATTTGAAATATGTTAACATTTAAAATGAGATATTTCAATTCTTCTTATTTGGTCTTCTGAAAATACTATTAAACTATGGAAATAAGAAACTCAATTTTTAGAAAATGCAAGCAACAAACAAGTTGCTTCAAATGAGATAATATTTGATCAAACTTTATCAAAAATAAAATATAGTTACAGCAAGGGCCTCTTTGAAGAAGCAGATCTTAGTCATCCTGCAGCCTCAGTACTTTGTAATAATGATTTGCTGACTGTTGGGTCCAACTCTGGGCACGTGTGTGATGCAGGATGGAAGAGATGCAGTCTCTGCACTTCAGGAACCCTGTAGTGTAACTGTAGAGACGACACCTGTACAGACAGAACCACATTACAAGGCAGCACATGAGATGTATAACATTGATCGCGTTTAGTGCTATAGAATTTTTGATAAAGGAGAGATCTCTGATTGGATGTCAATTAAGTCTTCTTGGAAAAGATGAACTTGAAGGCTGTTTTACACTAATTATTATTATTAGCATTTTTATGCTAATAACACAGTTTGAAGAAGAGTGACTAGAACTTAAAACTCCTGCTTACCCATACTTTTTTATGTGGTTAACTGAGATTATAACTTAATGCTTAGGAGTAAAATATCTGCCATGTTCTCGATAAATGTTGCCCATCGTCATCAGTTACACTGTCCTTGAAAACTCGTCAGCTCAGTCCTTGCTTCTCCAGGAGGCCTTTCCTACCAAACCTAAGTGTATGAATTGTTCTCTCTTCTTTATTCCTAGAGAATCCTCAGCATGTCATTACCAAAGCACTGTAATCTATGGCACTGATTTCTAATTATTGCTTTATTTCTCTGTCTCTCCCACTAAAGTTCCTTGAAGTTATGGAACGTGTGTATCCCAAACCTAGCATTATTCCTAATGCTATTCCTAAATACATTATCATAGTGTCTAAGGCTTAATACATTTTTGTTGAATGAATAATTGAACTCAACCAAGATTATATTTAGTATAAGAAAATGGATATTTATATAAAGTTGATGGCAGTGATGACGGAGAGAAATGGATCCATTCAGGCTATGTTTTGAGATAGAATTGACAGGATTTATTGATGAATTGGTTGGAGAATGAGGGAGATGGATGAGCCAAAACTTGAGAAGCTGGGTAATGCCATTAAGTGAGATAAGTTAGGCTGGAGAAGAACAGGCTGTCTTACAGATGTTTGAGTAGCCTACTCCACTTTTGCATAAAGCTATCAAATGGGCACTTGCATGTGAGTCTGGAGCTCAAAGAAGAGAGCAAGACAGGAAATGTAATCAGGAAGTTAGTAGCGTATGGATGGCATTTAAAGCTAAGGGTGAAATTGGCTTGTGAGCGAATGTAAGCTGAGGAGAGAGGAGGGCTCAGAACCAAGCCTGTAGCACTCCAGCATCGGGTGGTCTGGAAGGATGGAGACAATAGCAAAAAAACCAAAAAAAAAAACCGAAACTGAGGAAGTAGGAGAACACTAGAGAGAACTGTTTCAAGAAACCACTAGTTGGCGTCAAATGCTGCTGAAGGATTAGGATGAAAATAGAGAAGTGGTCACTGGATTTGGCAACATAATGATTGTTGGTGGCCTTGATTGCGTAGTGGGGGGTCCAGAAGCCAAATTGGAATGAGTTCAAGAGTGAATGCGAAGCAAGGGACTAGGAATCTGTAGGAGTTAAATCCTCGAGTAGGCTGAAGGGGATGGGAATCCCTTCTGCAGCTTTCGGTCTTCCTGTTTCAGCAATTCCCAAACTGAACTCATGCATTGCCCTCCAAAATCTTTTCCTTCTCATGATGCAGACTAGAACTGCCCCGGTTAGCATGCTTGTCTCCTTCCTCTCCTTACCCCATTTAGTCAGATGCCTTGGGCTGTTGAGTCTTCTTTATGATACTTTTCAAATTGGAATCCTTCATTTCATTGTCATTGCCACTTAACATTGCTCTTTCCAAGTATTAATTAGCTCTTCCCCACGTGCCCCCCATGGTTTCCTGAGTACTCACTGCTTTTATTCTCTCCCTTGCCAATATATCCATCCATCACAGCTAGAACGTTCTTCCTAAAATACAGCTTTGCTCATGTTATTCTCCTGCTAAAAATAAAACAAAATATTTTAGCCTGGCACTGAGAACTCTACCTTTTTATCTGAATTACTTTCTCTTCATTCAGCCTGCTGTTCTGAAGTATTTGCTTCAGGACAAGTACTTGCTGAAGTATTGCTGTTCTAAAGTCTGTTTCCTAAATATAACCTGCGTCTTTGGCCTCTGTGACCTCACAGTCACTGCTGCCTGTGACTGACGTGCCTTTCCCTGCCTTCTCTTACATTTTCTGTATTTCCAAATGCTGAGTACCTCTAACAGATGGTAGAGTACACCCTAAAAATTGTGAAATTTCAAGGCTTTCAGTGCTGCCGCTTTACGTCATCAGTTCTTTAAAAGTTCCATAATACTGGTCGGGCACAATGACTCACGCCTGTAATCCCAGCACTTTGGGAGGCCGAGGCGGGCAGATCACCTGAGGTCAGGAGTTTGAGACCAATCTGGCCAACATGGTGAAACCCCATCTCTACTAAAACTACAAAAATTAGCCAGGCGTGGTGGTGGGTGGCTGTAATCCCAGCTACTCGGGAGGCTGAGGCAGGAGAATTGCTTGAACCCGGGAGGCAGAGGTTGCAGTGAGCTGAGACCACACCACTGCACTGCAGCGTGGGCGACAGAGCGAGACTCTGTCTCAAAAAAAAAAAAAAAAAAAAGGGTTCCATAATACTGATATTTTTCTTTAAACCAATTATTTGTACCACCACTACTTCAAGCAGTCATCTTTTTTAGGAATTGGGTACAGGAATGATTTTCTTTCTGAAGAGAAGTTTCTTGGAAATTTCACTGGCAGTTGTGGAGTTGTGGGTCATGACACTGTGTGACAGAGGATACCCAGAAAATGCTGGGCTTGTCCTCTTCACAGCAGCAGCCAGACGGTTACAGGGTGTGCAGGACATGTCCATAGGAAAAGCACCCTCCTCAATTGCACACTCACTCATTAATGTATTTAGTAGTAGATGCTGGATTCCTTGTTTTTATGGTTGTTAATATTTGGGGGTAGGAGAAGAACAGTGTGTGTGAAATCATTATTCTGAGTTTCAGCTTTTTAAAACAAGAGAGCCCTTTAGAAATTCTGCTCACAGTCACACATTCTAAAAGAAGAAAATTAGAAGCTCTCTAAAGATTGTAATCATAGAAAAAAAAGAATTGTTCATTAGAATATTGAACTGAGTGTTCCGTCAACTTTCCGCACATCGGGGAATTGCTAATGTGAGGACGTCACTAAGAAGTAGATTGAAGATATCTTTTTGAGATCCTCTTATGATACATGTTGCCTTCCCGTTGTATTCTGGTTTTTATTATTGGGGTATAAAGCAGATTTTAGGCATATGTAGCTTGTACCTAGTTAAGCTTTTAAGAATGAAGTTGATTATTTTATTGACTGAAGGGAAACAACCCAGGATTTTTTTTTTTTTTTTTTTGAGACAGCGTCTCGCTCTGTTACCCAGGCTGGAGTGCAGTGGCACCTTCTTGGCTCATTGCAAACTGTGCTTCCTGGGTTCAAACGATTCTCCTGCCTCAGCCTCCCTAGTAGCTGGGATTACAGGCTCCTGCCACCACGCCTGGCTAATTTTTTTGTATTTTTAGTAGAGATGGGGTTTCACTGTGTTGGCCAGGCTGATCTCGAACTCCTGACCTCAGGTGATCTGCCCATCTCAGCCTCCCAAAGTGCTGGGATTACAGGCGTGAGCCACTGTGCCCGGCCACACAGGTTTTTGAAAAAATGGGATTGAAAATTCTTGCATAGTTTTTGAACCATGGTGCTGGATAATTATTATAAGTAGATATTGTTAGGGAAAAAAGGAGTGGGATGACCATCTGATTTAAGAACCTTCACTTTGGCTGTTGCAAGAACATTATCTACTTGGCCTTTCAGCAGGCAGCTTGCCAGTCCTTTCTAGCAGCTGTTGAATGTAGTCAGCTATTTTGGAACATGAGGGGTATTGTAATTAGGTGTGTAGAAAATTGATTTAAGAATTCAAAACATCTCTAGATTTTTAGTAAAACTCTAGAGTGCAAGTAAAAAATAAATCTCATATTTTAAGTGGGATAACAGCCTTTATTTCCTCAGAATTACTCATTAGTACTGATAATGAGGAAAAAAATACATAACTACAAAATTGTGAGGGAAAGCCTCAAAACAACTTGCTTTGCTTTCTTTGTCACAAAATGTTTATTTTAATATATATTTTCCCCACTGTACATTTCCCAGGAACCTTTGTGTTTTGGCATCCTTACTTAACATTAACAGAATAATAAACCAGAAGATTGCTGGAGGCTTGGCCCTTTGTGGCAGAATGAGCTGTACACCTCCATCCTTTGATATGCGCTTTCCCCCTTTTCTCCTTTGCTGTTGAAAGGGAAAACAACTGCTTCTATTTTGGATAATTTTTAACTAATGATCTCAAAAATCCAGTATGGAATATTTATCCATCAAGGAAAAATTGTGTTAAGTGCATTTTATAAACTGATTCTTACATATATGAGATGGTTCATAGCTGGGATTAAAATGCTGTGTTGTTATAATTGTTTTATTGTTTAGATGAAATTGTTCAGATTATTATTTGGATTCTGGTGGAACTTTTTTGAGCCATTAATAGAAAATAGCAGAAATAACTGAAAATAGTTGGTTTAGGCTCATTGTACTGGTCATTTCAGTAAAGTATAATTGATATGTGAAGATCCAGAAATACGACTGTGGGCATTTAAAGTACATAAATTTTTATTATGATGGAAGAACAGTTTTCATTGGGAAGAGATTTTAAATTTGCATTGTCTTGTCTTTTTTTTTCCCCCCTACAGGAAGGAACTTGAAACCTTCAAAGGTAATTTTGTGTTAATTCTTCACTTTAAAATAGTTGAGAGTTAATTGGTGTCAGATGTTCTCTCTTGATAATGATCAGCGAACTCATTTTTTTTAAATCAGTTTACACAAAAAGTAAAACTTGATACTGTTTTTGTAGGTTTTGTTTAATCACAAGTGGTTTTGATATTCTCTTTAGCACATATACCAAGTGAGAGTTTCTGCTAATGACCTTTATAAATGGTATGTTAGGAAGGTGCAGTGCTAACTTTGAGATTGTTGAGAATCATAGTTTAAGAAGATTCTGGTTTCTCTTGTGCAGTCTGGGCCACGTGGAAAGGGAATGGTGACAAAGATCAAGAGGTGCCCCTGCAATTGACCTTGCAGTCACTCAAACCTCCTGAGAGGTCTTCAGTGCTGGGTCGTGCTCTGCTGCTGTCTTGTGACTTTGGATGAATCTCTTACCTTTTCAGGCACAGTTTCTCTTTCCATCTGTAAAATTAGAGGCTCAGATGAAATATATTCTGAGATTCCAAAAGCACCCAGCATTACTTTTTACGTTTAGGGAATGCCTGAAGGAGGGACACTAGAGAATGATTCTTGGTTATATTGACCGTTACTGGTCATGGAGAAAGGCTAGTGGAAAACAGAAAAAAATACAAACTTTCCAGCAGCTCAAGGTTCTTCCAGTTTGCCATTTTTCAATTAATTACTCATGAGCAATTAAGTACTAGAAATCCTATTCTCGAGAGACTCAGTTCAATAACTGAGAAAACTTTTTGAAATCACTTCTGATTTAGTTGTTTTATGCTTATTATACTTCACATATAAACCAGCATTGTCCTTTAGATTTGCTGAATGGTGAAAGATTTCCAAGTATATCGTTTGTGGTTGAATTGTTGATATGTCTGATCTGTTTGAATTTAGAAAAAATGACAAATTCTCAAGATAAAAGGTATAAAGGCATATTCCTCCTATAGTTATTATTGAACAGCCTTGTTTGGCTGGATTTCTGTTTGACCTACTACAGCTGTAGTAAATGATTAAGCTCCTGGCCAGTTTGTTGAAGGTAATGTTAAATGACCATGTGATATAATGTGTTGTCATGGCTGTCATTGTTCTTAATTCGATTTGTAAACCACTGCTTGTATACTTTTTTTTTTTTAAATCAGTGCTTTAAAATAAGATTTGAAATCCTTATAAAATGCCTTTTCCTTCTCTTTCTTTTCTTTTGGTTGACTAGTTTAGTATCTTCTTATGTAACGGTAAGAGATGAAAAAAACAATCAAGTTAATATTAATAGACAGGGCAGGGACACAGATTATGTAAAATGTCAGTTTTACTTGCCTCTCAGTGCTGAGGCATACTTTTTTTAGTATGACAATATTCAGAGAAAAAGAAGAGAATAGCAGTTTGCAAAAGGTTAGGTAGTGTTGCATATTACCCGATAGAAAAATTCAGTTTAAGCTGAAATATCTTGTTTATACACACATTCCTAATTATGTACAATTAACAGCACATCAAATCCACCCACAGGCCAATTAAAGATCTCAAATGTGAACAAACCCTAAATTGAATGTTGCATTATATCAAGATTTTTAGTATCAGTGTTCATTCAAAATTGTTTTTTCTTGAGTGTTTTGCTAATATTTTAAAAACGAGGCCTGGGCATGGTGGCTCACGCCTGTAATCCCAGCACTTTGGAAGGGCCTCCTTTGGGAGGCCGAGGGGGTGGATAACCTGAGGTCAGGAGTTCAAGACCAGCCTGGCCAACATGGTGAAACCCCATCTCTACTAAAAATTCAAAAACTAGCCAGGCATGTTGGTACACCCAGCTACTCAGGAGGCTGAGGCAGGAGAATCACTTGAATTCGGGAGGCGGAGGTTGTAGTGAGCCAAGATCACACCACTGCACTCTAGCCTGAGCCACAGAATGAGACTCCTGTCTCAAAAAAAAAAAAAAAAAAGAACCCTATAACAAGAAAAACAGAAACGTAATAGCTCTTCCAAAGTATTAGTGAAGAAAAAAACATTTAAAAATTTGTTTGAACATACTGTGGCAATTTATTATTTTTTGAATATTGCCTTTTTCCTTTTCAGGTTGCAGGAAAATAAAAGGTATTACTTCCTCCAATTGCTTTATTCAACTTATATTTAGAAGCTCTTTTCTAAATTGGGGGAAAACTAACTTTTGAGAACCAAAATACAAAATTAGTAACCTTCAAAATTAGTAATGTACATTAATATCATCCACCAAGTTCTGGATTCTCCCTTCTGTACTCCATAGAGGTTGATGAGTTGTGTTCACCTTACTTCTGCTGCATATGGCCAATCTCTGCAAGATTATTAAAGCCAGTTGTTCTTGTCTTAATATTGGCAGTCGGAAATTTTTCTGTGTTCCCCAAATACTGCATTCATTTAAACTTTTTAGTGACAGTCACTTAAATATTAAATAGCAGAAAAAGGAGGTTAGGATCATAAAAGTCCTTATTTTATATTTTTAGTGGGAAGGCATTCCATTATTGTAAGCACATGTAGAGTACGTAAGCTTTCATAGTCTTTAAAGACATAAGACATTGAAGACTTAGCTCTGGAAAACAGAGGCAGTGGAAGAGGCAGAACCAGAGTGGTCAGAGAAACAGGAAGACCAAGGCAATGTAGTGACAAAACAAAAAAAAAAACCAAACAAAAAACCAAAAAACCCCACAAAACTGCAGAGGAGAGAGTTTAAAGGAGGAAAAGTGGTAATCCGTTATACAAGTAATGCAGAGAAGTTGAGCCGAATGGGGAGAGCCTATTGGATTTGACAATGAACAGGTCATTGGTGACCTGAAAGAGCTGTTTATAAAGGGTAAATCCGAATTGAAAATCAGAAGTGTATGAATAGGCCAGGCATGGTGGCTCACACCTGTAATCCTAGAACTTTGGAAGGCTGAGGCAGGCAGATCACTTGAGGTCAGGCATTCGAGAACGGCCTGGCCAGCATGGTGAAACCCCATGTCTGCTAAAAATACAAAAAAATTAGCCCAGCGTGGTGGCGGGTGCCTATAGTCCCAGCTACTTGGGAGACTGGGGCATGAGAATTGCTTGAACCTGGGAGGCAGAGGCTGCAGTGAGCCGAGATTGTGCCACTGCACTTCAGCCTTGGCAACAGAGTAAGACTCTGTCTCCAAAAAAAGAAATGTATGAGTAGTTAGGAAATAAAGGTGACATGAACTAATTGTTCAATCATGAATGGATAGAAAAAAATGAAAATGTAACGAGATAGGATCCGGGTCAAAGTCAGGGGAGGTATAGTTGAAGATATTGAAGGAGTCATTATGATATTAAAGAAAATGGAAGGAAATGGTATCCAGATACGTTATCCTTGGAGGGTGTCCAGGGACATCTCTTTTCCTAAGACCTTAGAGAAGGAAAGGATGGCTGATAATATAGGGAAAAGCTGACATGGAAGGATGAAAGAATTTTTTGAGAATTCACATAAGGAGTGATAATATGAATTTTCAGGGCTAGGCTCAGAAGCAGAAATAAAAAAGCAAAACAAATATGCTTTGGCTAATACAGAGTTGGAAATGGGAAGACATGTAAGATGGACCAGCAGGCATGGTAACCATGGATGCTAATGAGACTGTGATTGAAATGATTGGCTGTGGAGTTCACACTGGAGAGGAGAGGCCTGACCAGACCATGAGAATAAGCAGGCTGAATGGTACAGGTGAGGTACCCCATAAAGGGGAAGAACACTTTTAGTGGTTGAGGTGGATCTTGTGGTCAAAGAAGAGATTTCAGTTTGAAATCTTAGAAGGGGAGCAATTCCCAGTGATGATGATGGCTAAATTTGAGTAAAAATAGAAGGCACCAAGTCATCTGACTTGGAGAATTCTGAGTCTTTGAGGAGTCTCACTTGTTTGGATGACTCATAGATGTGGCTTATGCATGTTACTGGCTTGGCAGCCCTTAGCATGTTACAGATAGGGATGATGATGCTAGATGGTAAACTTCAGGAGAGTTTGTTGGTTCACTTAAAGAATTTGCTTAACATGTGAGACAAAACTATTCAGCTGCCATTTAGCAATATTTAAGTGACTCAGGTTGGATGATGTTACTGTCCTCTGTCCTCAGGGAGCTAAAGGACTGTGGCAAAGCTTATAGGTTAGAAAGGCAAACATATAATTTGAATACAATATAGAAATAATAGAAATAACTACGCTAAGGTGGGAGTAATCAACCAGAGAGCGGTCATTACACTTGATCTGAATGATGACTCGCTGGGCTGGAAAGGATAATAAAGACATTTCAGGAAGAGGAAAGAACAATTGTAAAGATGCAGATACGTTTATTTCAAGAATACAAGTTAAAATTTAATTTCTTATTTATTGAAGGAGCCACAAATAATTTGCCTGGCTGAAGCATATGGTGTGTGGGGTGAAGTGATGAGGGATGAAGTTGGACAGAGAGGCAAGGAACAACTGGTACCCAACCTTGAGTGCCGTGCACAGGAACTTGGACATTTCCCTTTAGGCCAGTGGTCTTCAAAGAGGAATGTGGGCTTGCAAAGCATGAGAAGAAGAGAGGAAACTGAAACTTTTGTTTTTTTATGTCATCCTTTTAAATGTCAATTTTCTGTATATTATGTAATGGAACAGGAATTCATGCCTATGTCAGGGGTGCATGATCAAAAAGAGCTCAGAGGTTATTGCTGTAGCTGATAGAGTCCGGGCAGGGAGTGGGTTATCCCCGAGGGTTTCAATCGGGGTAGAAGGATCAGATTTGCATTTTAAAGCAAGTTTTCTGAAATCATATAGGAGATAGGTTAGAGAAGAGCAGGTCTAGATTAAAAGAGATCAGTTGGGAAACTATTAGATTTGAATTAAGGCATTGCTAGAATGGAGAGAAAGACACAGATTCAAGAAACTGAGTAGAATAAAAAATCACTATATTGTTCCTTTTTATTGCTGAATTAATACTTCATTGTATGAATAGACCCCATTTTGTTTATCCACTCACCAGCTGATGGACATT